GTTGATAACTTAGGAAATAATGTATTGCATATAGATTCGTCTAATGGTTTAGACAAGACATGCTTGTGGCATTGTCGTCTTGGACATGTCAACAAGAACTGCATAGCCTAAGTCCAAAAGGATTGAGTGTTAAAGTCATTTGATCTAAAGTCGGATGATACGTACGAATCTTGTTTACTTAGAGAGATAACTAAATTACCTTGTACTGGTACTTGTGAAAAACCTGAGGGATTGTTGGATCTCATACACACCGATGTGTGTGGTCCCTTTAGATCCACCATAAGGGATGATAACTGCTTCTATATTACGTTCACCAATGATTATAGTAGATATGGGTATGTCTACTTAATCAAGCACTAGTCGGAAACTTTTGAAAAGTTCAAAGAATTTAAACAAGAAGAGGAGAATCAATTGGGTAGGAAGATAAAGATACTCGGATCCGATAGGGTGGTGAGTATATTGGTATCTAGTTCTATGACTATCTTAAGGAATATGAAATTGTTTCATAATTAATGCCACCTAGGACACCGCATCTAAATGGTGTGGCTGAGAGGTGCAATCGAACCTTGTTAGACATGATTCATTCCATGATGATTTGAGCTTTGCTACATATCTCATTTTTGTGGTATGCCTTAGAGACTGTCGCCTGTATCCATAATCTAGACCCAACTAAGAAGATTGCCAAAACAACCTCACGAGATGTGGATAAGGAAGGTTCCCTCATTGGCACATATCAAGGTTTGGGGTTATGAGGCTTTCGTAAGACGAGAGACTCACGACAAACTTCAACCTCGCAGTGAGCAATGTATTTTCATCGGCTACCCACAAAAATCTTTTGGATATCTTTTTTACAGATCAAGTGACAACGTGGTCTTTGTAGGGAGGATAAGTGTTTTCCGAGAGATAGAACTCGTATGCTAAGAGGAAAATGGGAGGCAAATTGATCTTGAAGAGCTTCCAGATTCAAGTAATGAAGGAACCTCTAACACTAGAACTCAACATGAGGAAGAGATTCCTGTTGAACCGATTGACGAATCATTACCTCTAAGACGTTCCTCTCGAGTTAGCATGGTACTGTGGTTTTATGGTTTTCATATTACTACAGAAGGTGATATGTTTATCAGCAAGAGTCCACTGGAAAATTTGGATAAGCCTACTGACTACAAGGAAGCTATGGCGGGCCCGAAGTCTGCAAAGTGGAAAGAGGCAATGGAGAGCGAGATTCAGTCCATGCATGATAATCAAGTTTGGAACTTTGTTGACAATATACCGGGTCATAAGATGCTCGGGTGCAAGTGGATCTTCAAGAAGAAGACTGACTTGGATGAGAAAGTGCATACATTCGATGAGGAAATTGGATAATAGGTGTATTTTATGTAGAGTGTTGATGAATCTTATATATGTAATTTTATATGATTGTAGTGGGTGAAGTAAAAGAGCTAAACAAAGAAGTTCAATGCTTGAAATGTCACCCTCGTAAGCCTTAACAAAGTGAGTAGATAATCTTACCTGGCTCTAAGAATGTGTTTGATCATATTTTTATATATGTATATTAGCTATAAATGTTTTATATGATAATGATTTCGAGCATAAATAGCGAAATTCCATGGGAATATATTAACATCCTTTTGGTGTTGAATGATAAAGTTTACATGGCTAAAATGTTACTTGTTCATTGATGTCATTAACCATGGAGAAAATGGTGAGGCATGTGGCGTGCAAATGATAAAGTCTACATGGAGAAAATTTGACTTATTCACTTAATTCAATAACTATGTTGAACAGAGTGAGACATATGGTGTGTGCTAAGTCGATACTTAGCAATGTGAACACATGTAATTATATGGAATTAGTTGTTGTAGTTATGAAATATTAATGATTTTTGAATTGTAAGAGGTTGTTTGGATTATTACTCATTAAGATTTTAAGCTTGCCCTTGATATATATATATATATATATATATATATATATATATATATATATATATATATATATATATATATATTATTAACTTTGAATTAAGTCTACTAAACACGAATTGATATGTATTAAATCGTCACTAATAGAGTCCCAATACCAAATTAGACTCCTAATTCTAAGAGATCGTCAACCGTCACTTCGTTTGATTATTGTTATACAAAATCGTCACTTATTGTTTTCACGCTTGGTAAATTTTATAATTAATGTAAACACAATCTGATTATGGCCTTTGGATTTGATAGCTTATTAAACTTGATTTTTTTACATGATGTGTGTTTATTATAATAGATCGAGGATGAGCCTGGGATGGGTTGGAGGTGAGCTAGGGAAAAAACCAAAATCGAAAAGGTAGAAGATTTGATTCTCCACATTTGTTGGGATGGGGACAGATATGGTGAACCCTATCCCATCTCCATCCTATTTCCATCCCTAATTCAGATACTAAAATCACATAAATCAATACAAATTGTGTAATTGAACAATTAGTCAACATCGCATATGTTTGTTCAAAATGGTTTTAATTAATTGAATTAGAGTTGGAATACATTTGGACATACTAGCCGAACATTTTTCATAGAGTTTATTACGTGGATGGTAAATCATAATATACTAACAATAATAGGCGGAACAACATTTGTAGGACATGTTTTCAAACATATTGTTTCAAAATTACCTTTTCGAATTACCAACTCTTGAATTCTTCTAATAATTTTATCTATATTTTTTCATCGTGTTGCATCACATTTGACCAATTTTAATTAGACTAACTAATATAAAATAATAATTTCGTACAAAAGTATTAAAAAAGCAATTTAGTAGATATATTGTCAACTATTTAGACCCTTAGCAACTGTCTGTATTAGTTAACTTGAATATATTTAAACCAAATGGTTATAGACTTATAGTTAATAAACTTTATAAATATAAGTATATATAGCATTGAAAATTCTTTTACTTAAAGTATACAATGACTTCTTTTTATTATTTGTCAATTGTCAAGTTGATATGCTTAACTCAAGAAAAATCAAAGTTAAGATGATTTCTGGATGGCCGATGCATTAATTTCTCTTCAAAAACCCCTTTTATGGTTTAATTGTTTGGGTTGAATAGGAGGTCCTCCATCTCTATGAATGGTTAAGAATGATACAACACCGAGGAACATGTGAGCTTATTTATGACGATCAACTGCTCCACAATGATTATTGTTTTTTTCTTCATAACGCATAGACCAAGATACTAGATGTGGACTTTGCTTCCTCCGTATGATATGCCTATACAATGAGAATCACGTATTATCCTATTAAAAAGCTTTTTAAATAATATTTGGTAGAACTTTCTCAATAGTATATTTTAGGGTTTTGGACAAATTGTATACAAAATATTAAGTTTACATAAAATCTTGATTTTTATAATGTGTAATTTTATTTTTATAATTTTGATACTAAGTTTTCACAAAAAAAGTAAATTTGACACTATAGTTTCCAGTTTGTTTTAATGTGGAATGGTTGATTGATTAATTGAGTTGTCAACTAATATGGCATGATAATGTGTTAGTATTTGATGATGTGATGATAAAATAGAATGATGACATGTCACTTTTTGGTAATATCACTTTTCTAGAGTTAATATTTCAAAAATATAATAATCATAATTGAAAAAAACATAATGTGAAAATCGAACTTTTATGAAGACGTAGTGTTTATTTGTGCAATTTCTCGTTATTATAACATAATAATCATGACTTGTTGGAGGTTTGGAGGCCTTTTAGTGGAAAAGTTTTTCGAGCAAAAAGTAAAACAAAATTGACATCTACACTTGTAGCGCCATAATCTTATTTCTATTTGTTGGGATACATATTTGTATAGATTTGATGATGCAAGATATATACATTATATTTATAGTTTATATGCTCATTGTAGACAGTTAGTCTTATCCAACTAAGTGTAAATAATATATCTTACATAAGCTAATCTGTCATAATTTGTTTTGTTAATTAATCTAAAGATATGTTGAGGGATGTTGATATGTCGAAGACTGAAGATCATCCCCTGATGAGCATAAGACCCTAAAGACTATCAGCACTAAAGGTACTTAAGTATTATCAGCACAAAGAGGATTCACTGAAGACTTGATCAGTGTGTCCATACACTGTTTTCCTTACACTGATGACACACTGGTAATATGATATGTTGATACATTGAAGACTGATGTATACTGATGATCATACACTATTTGTTGAAGTTGAAGCAGATCAGTAGATGACTCCTTGACGTTGGTGCTGATGTCCGAATATGGAGTCGTTCGGATTTACTTAGTGAAGTAGTATTCAGAAGATCTGATCTAATATATTCCTTAAACTAGGTCGATATTTATGTTGAAGATTCAATCCCATCAAATCAGGGATTTGATTTAATTAGAAGATCTGGTGAATTTGCAAAAGTTTGTTTAGACTTGTATTTATACTAGCCTCTCTCATTAGTTAAGAGCTGATCATTTGTATTGTATCCTGAGAGTTAGACATTTTCTAGATATAGATCAATGAGTTCTTGAATTGTACTCATCGTCTTTGTGACCTGCGTTGTGCACCCGTTCTCTTTGTGGGAACCTTTCTTAGTGAAAGACACCTTTTTGATAATTCTATTATTCTTACTTGTTTGTATATGATCAACGAACCATCAAGTGGCATCTGAGCGGATTTTCTAATAAATTCAAGATTCCAAAGTTCAAGCATTTTGCAAAAACTTGAAAATCAGAAGAATAATATATCTTATACAATCATCTAGATATGAAGAATACATCAGACATTCAAAAGAGAGGGTATGGTATGTTCTCTTATATTTGGTACTATCTAACTACATAATGTATGTATGGTCCCTATAATATCTCTTAGACGAGAGAACTATTCTTAAGTGGAAATATCAACAAAGAAACAAATTTTCTTGATGATGAAGAACAAAAAGAATAGTTTGAAAATTAAAAGGGCAGTTGATGCATGTCCTTTGTTTTGTTTTCTTGAACTAATGTTTGATCCAAAGGCTCATCTATTTATGTTCTTTATTATTAAACTGGATCGAAAATACAAAGTCATTAATCAGAAACAAGTAGATATTAAAGTGTTGAACAAAGATCTGAATGAAAGGGAGAATGAGATATCATATATGAAGGAGAAGATAAAAGAAAAAGATGTGAAGAAGAAAATCCTTTCATATGTAAGTGTTAAAACAGAAGAATGTTCATCATCAAGAAAACCTAGTTTTCATGTTGATAAACATCACAATAGGTCTCACACTGCCAAGTCAGTTCATGCTGACAAGTCGAGTCTCGCTTCCAAGTTTGTTCACATTGCAAATACTTTTGGCACTTACAAGAAATTTCAAATTGTGAAGAGTACATCGTACCTTGTCAATTCTCCATCTCAATATTAAACTCCAAAAATTAGAAGAGCTCAATCAGGTAAATTAAATAATGTATGTTCTTTTTTTTAATAACGCTTCTTACATGGACAAATACTCAAAGAAAAGAAAGTAGAGGCCTCAAACAAACAAGAATTGGGTTCCAAAGAAGACATCTTTAGAACCTAGTAAGATGAAGCAAGTTTGGGTTCCCAATAGTACATCTCCTGAGCTTGAAGAAAAGCCAGTCATTAGAGGTAGAAAGAAACATTGGAATCAAAAGTCTTCATGAAAGAAGAAGAGGGTTTTGAAACCTCAAGCTGGTTGTTCTTTTTCTTATTAGATATTTTCATAGGTTCCAAAACCTATTCTCAAATGGGTCCCTAAATGTTCCTGTTAATTCGGAAGCAATGAGAGAGATTCCAAAATCCTGTATGTTAGTTTTTAGATGTCTCTCTCATTAAGAAAAAAGCATGAAAAAGATGTATCTATATTTTTTATTTTATTCTAATGTTAAAAGATTTTTGGAGAATTATGTGAAGTTTTTTAAGGAACATGTTATAGGTGGTACACTAGAGAAAGATGGTGTTCATCTGCTACATATTGTTGTATGTAGATGGAAAGGTCATGGGCATGTTTGTGACAAGACAAAAGAGAAAAAGTCAAAGTCTTGTCTACTATTCTCTTTAGCTATCTCAATCTCTATCTCACATTAGAGTGAAAATGATATGAGAAAACCAACTACATCATAGAGAAAGCTACAAAAGAAACAATATTTTATAAGAAAGCATAGATGTTTTTGTTTAAAGGGAAAGAAAAGGTGGCATGCTTGTTTTGATAAATAAAGAAATCAAGAAAGAGAAACTCAACCTTCTGGTCTTCAAAAAGGAAGAAAGTGACAAATAATACTCTGTATGGGTATTTCGGTCATTGTTTGAAAAGAGGAATGGTCAGAAGCTGTCATAATGTATCCAAGTCTTGATCTTGTTCGGATAATGAGTCACCGCCTTATTAACCATCATGATTAGCATATATGGATGCTCAGTGATGCATCAACACCTTCATTCATTCCATATGTATCTGTTGTTTGATGGTTGTGTGTTTTATGATATCTTGAATCATTAGAAGTTTCTGCCAGCGCATGTGGTTCAGTATGACCTGACATTGGAGATTACATCACAATATCTTGCTTCACAAATGAATAATAATGGACAAAGTTAACAAGAAATGAAGCTCAAGATGAAGAAGTTCTTGAGAACAATGTCTCTCAATGACTCGTCAGCTTCATGAGTGTTGCCACATCACCATATGTCAAAGAAAGCCAAATGTGTTTCTTTTTATTTTTACTGATAAATAAGGATTGTTGGGCAAAACAAAGACAACACTGTCATAATGAAAGTGCGTCTTATCACATGAGTTGGTGTCTGATGCAAAGTAATAAATAATAGTAAAACACAAGTGATGTGCAAGACTTCTAAGAAAAGGTCGTCAAATGTATATTTTCAATTAGGTTAATAGAAATATAAAAGGGAGAATGCACTAGAATCAAATCAGTACCTATGGGGTAAAATGTAACAACCCAATTTTCACGTCCAAAAATTCCATTTTTAAATCAATACTTTGGAAAGCTTTTGTAAAAAAAACATTATTTGATTAACTCATTCCACAATCATATATCGTGTTTGAAGAACCAAAAAACGAAACCAACTGAATATCAGAGTACAAATCCGAGAACAATCTCGTAAGGCGGAAAATAGTGTATGTGTATGATGTATCGCTACCGCGCTAGCTCCTTCCCCTTTGATGAAGAGGTACCTAAAACCAAACTAAAACTGTAAGCACAAAGCTTAGTACGTTCTCCCAACATTTGACATACCATACAATCATATAACATGAAGTAGAATCATATAACATACCATACTTGTCAGGAATTTTTGGGGTGCCCGACCTACCTGGTACGGCCATTCTAGGGTGCCGACCTACCCGTGCGGCCATTCTGGGGTGCCGACCACCCTTCGGTCCTAACAACTGAACCTCGGGGACTGTTTCACCCCCTACCAATACTACTATCACATATCATAACATAACATACTATCATACATATCTGGGGTGTCTGACTACCCTTCAGTCCTAACAACCAAACTCGAGGACTGTTCCTCTCCTACTACCCCTAACACATATCTCAGATCATGCTAGCATATAATCATGACATCACATACTGTCATACGTATCTGGGATGTCTGACTACCCTTCGGTCCTAAGAATCGAACTCTACTACTATAACACATCAAGCTAGCATATAACATATAAGGTAGTAGCAAAACTAGATGATATCCCAAAGACAATCATCTAAAACACAACTCCTGCTGGTGGGCCGACATTGTGGCCGTAGACCCACCGCTACTTGAAGGTTACTCACCTCGAAGTAGCTACTGATCTGCGCGGAAACTATCTGTTTACTGCTGCTACTCCGAAAATCCTTCGGCTGTAATTCCCACTAAACACCCAATCAAACACTGCTAACTGTCCTTAGGGTAAAATGACCATTTTACCCCTGACCAAGTCAAAAGTCAAAGTTAAAGTCAACTTCCAATTGACCCAACTCGCATAATTGTATGAACAACTCGTCGAGTTCATCTTCATCCGATGAACACTCTGGTCCGTGACTCGCCGAGTTGTATGAACAACTCGTCGAGTCTGTTCTTGAGGCAAGAAGATTACCTTGCACTCGCCGAGTCAAGGAATTGACTCGTAGTGTCCCTCCATTACTAAGTCTGGCTTCCGACCCACTGAGTCCACTTATAGCTCACTGATCCCACTTAGCGTAACTCAAAAGGGGAAAATCGGGGACTCGCGACTTGACTCGTCGAGTCCGAAGAACGACTCACCGAGTCACGTGCATGCAATTACTATATACTCGATTCTGCTTGAATATAATGCATTCCATTCATAGATCTGTGTTCTTAGGGTAGGTTTTACACGTAAAGTTTCCAACTTTACGTGTATTCATGCATCAAAAAGGAAATAAGAGGCTTAACAAGGACTAGAAGAGTAGATCTAGGAATTATACACAAGTTAGGCTCATAAAGGCAATAGATCCGAGCTCCTAGAGCTCAATCATGCCTAGATCTAAAGTCCCTTAACACTATAAGCTCATTACCCAAAGATCAAGACTAGAAGAGGCCTTAAAATGACTATCTTAAGCTCTTAAGGAGATAATAATGAAGGAACAGAGAGGGTTTCGAGTCTAATACCTCTAGAAGCTCTTAAATGGCACAAAGATTATGGATCTTAATTCTTCCTCTCCTCTTGATCTACCTTTTTCTTTTCTCCAAAACTTCAAGGAATTGCACCAAAAGCACTCAAATTACTAAAAGAAGGGTTAAGGCTTCGTGAGGGGTGTTCTGGACGTAATGGGGCAGTTATGAGGCCGAAAAAGATGTTTAAATAGGGTGCAAACCTTTGAAATTAGGGTTTCATCCAGACCGGCGGACTCGCTGAGTCCGGGATATGGACTCGTCGAGTCGCCAACTTAAACGTGCTCAATATCTCGTCTCTACTCGGCGAGTCGGGCCTACAACTCGCCGAGTTCCAGCTAAAAATGCAAAAAATACGTACATTAAAATACATATCAGGAACCAAGTGCTACAAATCTCCCCCACTTATTTTAGACTTCATCCTCAAAGTCTGCCGCTCGCTCTTAGAAAAGCTCAGGATAGTGCTCCCTCATCTCTTCTACCGGTTCTTAAGTCCACTCCGAACCCTTTTGGTCCTGCGATTGCACCTTTACTTGCTCCACCCTCTTGTTCCTCAGATCCTTTGACTTCCTGTCGAGGTTTGCTACTGCCCGCTCAATGTAATTCAGGCTTTCATCAACCTAAATATCCTCCAAAGGCACCACCGCTGAGTCGTCCACTAGACATTTCCGCAGCTGCGAGACGTGAAAGGTGCTGTGGATCTGACTGAGTTCAGCTGGTAGATCCAGCTGGTATGCCACCTTGCCCACCCGGGCTAGAACCCTGAAGGGTCCAATGTACCTGGGGCCCAACTTGCCCTGCTTCCTGAATCGGATGACTCCCTTCCATGGCGACACCTTCAGGAGAACCATATCTCCGACCTGGAACTCTAGGTCTAATCGGTGCTTGTCGACATAGCTTTTCTGCCAACTCTGAGCAGTCTGAAGCCTACTCTACACCTGTTGAATCCGCTCGATCGTGTTGAGCACCACTTCGGTGCTCCCCATGACCCTCTAGCCAACTTCGCCCCAACATATCGGGGTCCTGCACCTTCTCCCACACAACATCTTGAAGGGAGGAAGGCCAATACTCGCATGGTAGCTGTTGTTGTATGGGAACTCGACCAAAGGAAGATAAGTATCCCAGTTACCACCGAAGTCTAACACGCACGACTGCAACATATCTTCCAGAGTCTAGATGGTCCGCTCACTCTGACCATCTGTCTGCGGGTGAAAAGTGGTGGTAAAATGCAGACGAGTACCCAGCTCATCATGGAACTTCTTCCAACACCTGGAAGTAAACCATATGTCTCTATCTGAAACTATGGAGATAGTCACTCCGTGCTGCGCCACACCTCTCGGATGTAGATATCGGCCATCTTCTCTGCCAAGATACTCTCCTGGATTGGTATTAAGTGGGCGCTCTTGGTCAACCGATCCACGATGACCCATATAGAATCCACTCCCCGTGTGGTCCTGGGAAGCTTGGTGATAAAATCGATCGTGATATCTTCCCATTTCCATAGCGGGATATCCAACGACTGCATCTTTCCGTGTGGTCTCTTATGCTCGGCCTTGACCTTCTTGCAGGTCAAGCATCGTTCTATGTACCATGCCACATCCCGCTTCATGCAGGGCCATCAATAGTATAGACGAAGATCTCTATACATCTTCGTCGCCCCGGGATGAATGGAGAATCGAGATTTGTGCGCCACCTCCAGTAGAACCTGACGCAGACCCCTTTGATACGGTACCCACACCCTACGGTGTAGTGTCAATAATCCTCGGCTATCATAAT